AGCAGTGAGACTAAGGACATGAATACTACAGACAGACACATTCTCTCATTTCCTAGCTAAGAACACTTCACTTTTGTTGGCAACAACCCCAAGGCTTCAAGACTTATTGCTGCTTTCCTGAGCTTCAGCTGCGATACTTGTAAGAGGAGCCACATCATAACCAGCGAGACAGGAACTCAGAAATGCTGAGCTATCTCATCAGCCCAGAATCTTTATTTCAATCCTTCAGTTTCTCCCCACCCAAGTTATAAAACTGTTTCCTAATCCTCTCTTCCAAGAGCTGGAGAATTAAATATTGTCTGGAGTTCCTGACAACATCAGTTATAATTTTTAATATCCTTGTGCTGCTAAATTTCCATTTCCTGGGTGGAGGTGTAAAGAGTGTATATTCTTGTATATGTGTGGGTGTAGATGCATGTTACAGTTCTTCAGGCCATATAGTTGTATCCGTATGTGTTTAACTTCCCTTGGTGTTAATGGAAGCTATGAGTGCCCCTGTGGAAGAATGTTTTAGAGAAGGGAATGTTCAGCTAGGTGGGCTTTTCCTATTATTAAGTTTTATTGCATTTCTATAAGAAACATTTCTTACTATAGGAAACGATCAGAAAATCATCTTGCTAAATGACCTAATCCAAAAGCTATTATAGACTGTATAGTCAGTGGATAGCTAACAGGACCAAAAATACACCAGCTTTCTCATCAATACCCCTTTATTTTACTCATGTTGTATTTAAGGCAGCTAATCTTAAAAAAGAACACTCCCAGCAGAGCTCAACATTGTGCTTTGGATATAGTGAATGTCTTCAATAGCCATGAGAATGGATGGAAAACCACCATCCTTAAAAATTAGTGAGTGTAATTAAAGGGATTAATTCAATGGCAAGGGCTTACATGCCAGGTTCACCACTGCAATTTAATATTGACAGTATATCCATTCTCTTCTATTTTTAGTTTTAAATTGCAATTCATTGTTTAGTTCAACCAGCATAAAATATTATGCAGGAAGACAAAACATATTTCCATCATAGCCTCTTGAACTCAGACTGAATCTATAGTTGTTACTATCACTAGTGTGAAAATTGTCCATTTTGGACCAGTATCATTCTTGCAAAGTAAAGATAAAACAATTTTTTAGGGCCTGAAGACTGGGTAAAAAAGATACAGGACGTGAGGGAGTTGTACCCTTGGGAAGCTGTTAAGTGGAACAGGTTTTTGTGAACACTTAGTGGTCAATATGAAATAAGAGGACTTCAGCTTTTAAATACACCTGAACTGAGTATTGGTGGGTTTGGAATTTTTTTTCCAGATCTTTACACTAAGCAGTTAAAAGAACGTGAGCTAGGAAAACACTTCATACCTGAATCGACAGCAAAAGCACAATTCTCTGTAGTAATTTGAAATTACAGGCAGTTATAATTACATTCCAGAAAGCACTGGAAGCTGGCCAGCTCAGCAGCAGTATCACTGCAGTACTAGAGCTATGGTAACAGGCAAATGTTTCATGATGGAGCACCTGGAGCTCTCTAGGGAGCAGAGGCAGAAGGGGCAGAGGGACTTTGCCCACATCCCTCTGCTGGTACAGGCAACAGCTGTTGTGGTGTGGGCAAGCCCTGCAGGCAGCACAACAGTGGCCTTGGCTCAGCACCCTGGTGTGAGGCTGGTGCCACTCATGGTCTCTGGTAGTTTACAGCCATATGGAACTCAGCAAGTAGGTTTTGAAGCCCTACGGTGATCATTGACCTATGCCATGTGCAGTGCCTGAGGGATAGACTTTGGGATCAGGACATACGCTGTAGCTTTCCCTCAGATAACATTCTCCATTTTATCTCCTATCTTCTGTGATCTACACTGCTCCACTTCTACTGCTATGAGGGTATGGTTGACACCAAGCAACAGGGCTTTCATGCACCTAGTATGTATGTCAGCTTAGCTACTGCTTGCTCTTACCCAGGGTCAGGCACTGGCTTCCAAATGTTCTTCAGCTGAGACCCTACTTGTCATGAACCTTGCTTTGTTACCCCGAAATATGGTGTGACTTACATGTAGAAGTCCTACATCCTGGGGAGCAGCAGCCATTTTGGGAACTACAGCTCTGCTCCTACAAAACCAATCACGAGCCCTTGTGAATCTGGCCTGTACTTTACTCATGTAACTTTTGCATTCAAAACAGTATATTCACTGTGCATTGTTTACTCTTTTATACCACTTTGCATTCAGAAGCTGTTTTCTTTCGTTCCGTTTTTTGTCTTAACTCATACACTTTGTTAATTACTTCTATCTTCCTCTTCATTTCTTATATAGTGGATTCCTTTCCTCATGGCTACTGCTTTTTTAATTATAGCTTTTCCTTCTTTCTGTACTTTTTCTTTTTTTTTTAAATTCATGTTTATCTTTTAATTAAGTCACCAGGAGGCATATTTAGAGCCCCCAGGGTTCACTTTGAACTCCAAAAAGGAAAAGCCTTACTCTGTGCTCTAAACAAAATGTTAATTTGAATTAATTGAAGGAAATGCTCTGCCTGTGATAGACTTGTTTCTGAATAATTAATCATTTCAGCCAGAAAAGTAAACATTATGGCCTTGATTTTTACTTCTGGTCCTACCAGTGTCAGTCTGGAGCAGCTCTGCTTATATAAACTGAATTGATCTCATTCATTATTAGTTCAGCCAAAAGCAAGCTCTGGCCCCAGATCACCACGGAAAAAAGTACAGTTTGGTCTGTGTTGTATCCAAATACTTCATAGCATTGTAAGTGCTCTCCCCCACCTCTTATGCCTCATTTTTCAGAGGAGTGATTTCCCTTGTAGCCAAAACATGGTGATAGCCAGGGTGGTGAGCAGGGATGGTTGGGGTTAAGGGGTCTGTTGGCTGAGGAAGGGGGCTATAGCAGTGGAGAAACAAAGCAACTGATGGCTAGTAAGATCTCTCCTGGAATGGGTGGGGAAGTGCTCAGTGGCTAGGAGGAAGGAGAGGGGCAGGGGTATGTGCCACCAACTCTAATCTCCCTTGGCTCTTCAGAGCATTAGCCTAAAGATAACTCTGGCAGGTGTACCTCTGGCTTGTGGTCCAAACCCTCCCCTGCAGTTTGAAAGTGGAGGAATAAATAGCTTTTGCTGCTTTATCCTTCCTACTTGTGAATGCTGAATCCTTGGACCTTGGCTCTTCATGAATGTGATGTGGAAGAGGTGAAAGACAGTGACTGAAGTTTAGGGAGGAGAAGGAAATAATCTATTCACAGCTCACAATCCATTGCTGGCTGCTACATGAAGGTGAACTAAATCCAAAGAAGGATTATTTCCTTCCCCTGGAGCTCCTGGCTGAAAAGCAAGGACTCTTCCAAGCTCCATTATAATTTTATTACCTTCTACCCTGCACCTCTTTTACTAAATATTGATAATCTCCTTGTTCTCCTTCTACACCACTAGCCTGGCGAAAGAGAGGCAATCACACACCTTTATATTGCTTGTTTATCTAAAATGGAAATAAATGCTGCAAAGTAGAAAATTACCACTGGGCACTTTATGTCAGGGTCTCACACAGATACGGCATATCAATACAGAGCTAGAATAAGAGGAGCTATCTCAGATATTTACCAGGTATTATCTTGTATGATACTGATATTTAACATTTCCCATAGTGCCTGATGTATATAAATCTATTCAAAGGTTCATGAATTGGGCGATTCATGGGAGTGGCTTTTAAGTTCAGAGAGACATTTCCAGATTCCTGCTGATTGGAGGTATTGAAGGTACAATGCAGAGGCTATTTCCCTTCCCCTCAAAGTCCTTCTTAAAGCTTCTGCTGACAGTTTCCCAACAGCAGTTGGCAAAATTGCCCTTTGGTTTAACCCATGACCAAATGTGTGATCGTACTCATAGTTGTGTGTTTCCCACGAAACCAAGAATCCTCAGACCCAGTTTATTGCATAACAGCACAAGTCTTCTTGACAGCACAAGCACAAAGCAGAAAGAAAAAATATTTCAAGTAATTTCTTAATAGTTAAAATGAATAAATCATTTTATCCTTGGTCTTTTCCCAAGTGTCTGAGACTTGACACATTTGCTAGCTCTATTTCTAGTCTGTACAGATTCTTATAGCCCAGTCATCACATTAGTATCCAGCCCTTTCCAATAACATATTGCATAAATTCCAGGAAGATCAAACCTCTCTTGGGCAGTATCTACTCTCAAGCTGTGTTTACTGTCATCGAAAGAGCATTAAAAAAAAACCAAAACAAAACCAGGAGTCTTATGATGCAGATGTGTCAATGAAGTGAAAGATGGGTTAAAAATAACCTTTAGTTTTGCATATAACAAAAGGAAAAAGATGCATGGTTTAGGGTGTATAAGAAAACTTCTGAGTGAAATTACTGGTTTCTACTAAATTGGTATTAGAGTGATGAGTTTTTAAGTTTTCTATGATACAGAGTAATATTAAGATAAGAAAGTTTTAAAAATTGTTCAACTCTAATAGAGGAAAAACTCTTTAAGCCTATCAGTCTTTACAAGGCACTTATTTTTTCTGTACGTGAGTTGATTCTTAAGGGGGAATTGAAGAAGGGTTATTAGAGTCTTCTCTCTCTGGAATTAGAAAACTAGGAGGTCTGAAAAAAGGATACCTGACGAAATTTTGAACAGATTCAGAAACTGATTAGAAAAATTGATTTGCAGAATAGTGTTATTAATATTGAAATCAGTAATACCTCTAAAGAGTTAGAATTCCTCTCTGCTAACAGGACTCTTAAAGAGATTTATTTTCTCCCACTGAATAATGCAAGTCTCAAATATCTAAAGAGTTATTATTTTCACAGTGAATTTCTGAAGTGTAATAGTCAGGAGAAAGTACCTGCTTTTATGGAGTTGCCCTTTGAGATATAAAGTTCAACCCTGCATTAATAGATCTGTGAGTACTTTTACCAGTGTGTAGCTACTGGCGGTTTGTAGTGTTTTAGAAACACAAATAATTATGCACTTCTATTTACTTGTCAGGTTTTTCTGCTAGATACCTCCTGCTAATTAAAAAGTATGTCCCAGAGAAGAGCTGTCCTTCATGTTGTGAAGAGACCTGCTGACATGCTGATGTTGCTGTAGTCTTATTATTCCTCTGGGAAAATTACCCAGAGCCTTAAAGCACTGACCTTGAGAACCCAGTGAGGTACCCAACCTGGCCCCCAACAAGCTGTACGATGTGGTGAAAAACACCCAGGAGCAGAAATCCCACCAAGCTAACCCTCTGAGTGGGCTCATAGACCCTGTGTTCAGCACACAAAAGCTGGCAAAGGCCTCAGCAGAGAAAAAAGTGTCTGCCTGGGAAGGTCAGAGTTTTTTATGTGAACTCTGTTAATCCGGTTTACAGATGGGATTTACCCAAACCTGTGAGCCTGACTCTTCTGCCCTGCAGGCAAATGCCTGACCTGATGCCCAGAGCTGCTACTGTGTGCACTGGAGTCAAAGCCTAATGTTCTGCCTCGGTTTATATCTCAAAGCATGTCTAGAAAGAGCTATTGAATAAATGAATCTTTTCTAGAGTATAGAGTTTTTCCCTGGAATGAATTTTCTAATAGTTATTTCCAGATTTTTCTTACTGTTCACTTGTAGTAACATGCTGCATGGATTTGCAGAGTGTTCCCTAATTCCCTTTTTAACCATCACCTCTCTTATCTCTCACTCCTTCTCTTTTTAGCTCACTAATTCTTGGGCTGTTTATCACTTTCAAAAAAATCAGGCTTCAAAACCATCTCTCCTACACCTTCCTTCTCCTGCATCAGAGTGTTATAGATTAGATTGGTCTAGTAACCAATTGAACCTGATGCAAGTTTAGTATAAACTTATTCTGCTTTAATGTATTTAATGAAGAACTCTCCAAACCCTTAGCTGAATCCTGAGAGCTGGATGTGGTCTGAAATACAGTAAATGAGTGTATTAATGTCATTGCTGCAAGAATTCCTGAATCATGGCAGAAAATACCTGGGTGGATGTTGTCCATTCATGCTGGTTCTCCTGAGGTGTTTTTTTGGCTGATGATGAACCAAATCATCCTGCCTTATCTTAGTTTCCAAAAAACATTTTCTGTCTTAATTTCAGCTCCACTGATGATCACCACAGTGACAGTGCCAAGCTGGATACAGTTGGCTACTTATGTGTTAACCACAAAGTCATCTAAATATTACTCTGAGCTACTCGACATCCAGGAGAGGTTCTTCAGATCTGCTCACAGCCATGCAGGTGCATAAGGCAGCTAACTATTACCATCTGGTCTCTGGAACTAAGTTTGCAGAAGGAGCCAGAAAACAGACACCTGTTTGGCATACCATCTCACAATAAATCATTGCCAAATTATGTTGCAAGATGGGTATGAGTGAACAAAAACTGAAAGAGGAAACAGACAACTCATTCCTCACTAGTAAGAAAAAAAGGAAGGGTAAGAGGGACAAAGCTGTTAGGGTTGTAAATTATATGTACAGTGAGGAAGTTGAAAACCAATTTGTAAAGTTCATGGGAAGGCAGATGATACTACTGCAGTTTTTCTTGGGTCCTTTGCCAGTTTACATTGTCTACCAGGGAATGCTGTTTGTTCAGCTCTAACCAAACTGTGGGCAAGTCTTTGCTGGGCTATTAGGTTTTCATAGAGAGCTGTATCTGGCCTTGTTCCTGACTTTGAGTTCCCAACCTGCTGCTGTTGCTGCAGAGTCACTACAGGGTTTGTCACTTGTGCTGACTTCTGCCGTCTTTCTTCACTCTTGCAGTAGCATGCCCCTTACACCTTAAGTGTCCTCATAACACCACTGCTGACTGCATACAGAATAATGATGAAAAGGTGCTTGTGCAGATAGAAAACAGACTTGCTTGCAATCTATTGCTGGCTGCTACATGAAGTTGAACTAAAATTACTTACAATAGAACCCCACCATTTACTCATAATTAGGACCCCCAGCATCTTGATTATAGGATTTATCAAGATTTAAATCTTGATAACATGGTCCTTGTTTATCAGCTTGGATCTGCACAGATTCAGAACACCATGTAAAATTTTGTTTACTTTTAAGTACTTTCTCACATCAGTTAAGTTTGTGAAATGGAAGCATGTGCTTCAGGCAAAGTGTTGTCTTAAGTGATGCCTTAGACACAATTTCTTCTTTCTCACCTCTGTGTTAGAAATCATGCTACATCTTTTCAGTCACTGCTACTTCTTTGATTTTCTAAAATTAAAATGAAATCGACAGTTGCCTCTCCAAGACATTGTGTCATTGTGCTCTGTAAAGTCTATGGAACAAATAGATGTTTTCCTCTATCTGTGTGATCTTATCCTTGCATTTGACTTCTGCTTGTTGACATGGATTTTAATTGCAGATCCTTGTCACAGTAAACAGCGATAAATCTTCAATAGAATGTAACTATAGCTCTAAATTACCATGCATGAGTGTACGTCTAATATGTAGGTTACCCACTAGCTCAGGATAGTAGGTGATTCAGGAGAGGAAGGCACAAACAGAGCAACAAGGTTATTTTGAGCAAGCCTCCTTGTCTGCTGTTCCTTTGGTTTGGAAGATACAACATTACACTGTAATTTAGGCTTGATTTCATAAATGCAGCCTTGGCTACCACTCTGATTCAGCCTTCCCTTGCTTCACATTTTCCAGGCATTTCCTGCCAAGCTACATTTTTTCTTCCTTAGCAGATTTCTCTCTGCTATCTCTTGGTTTCTCTTACACCAGGTCCCTTTAGGCACCGTGTCACTTCCTTTGAGCTACATATCCCTTTGAACCATGGAAGAGAGGAATGGAAAGTACAGTTCAAGGAACTGGTAATTTGGTGGAATGTTGCTCATGCCATAAATCAAACTGACAATAAATCACTAACTATTATTTGATATGGCTAGAACTGAAATGCATATTGACTTTGGAAGAGTCCTTTTTTCCTTCTAACCTGATCAGTCATGTGATTCTTTTTTTTTTTTTCTGTCCAAAAATGAGGACTGGCAGTATTATTCCTGGGTATAGGAAATTAAAGCATCTTTTCAGCTTGTGATCTAAACATTATTTTCTTAGGCTAATGTTTTCATAATTTATTGTCCCACAACCTACTAGCTACCTAGAGAAATGTTTCTCTTACTTCATCCTAATATATTAATTCTTCAAAACCAAGAAAAATAGAAAAAGGAAAGTGATTTTCTTTTCTGTTAACAATGTAACACTGGCATCTCATTTGAAAAGAAAGACTCATTGCAAAGCTGCCTGTAGTTCAATGATACATACAAAAAATTGTGTTTATACATATACTACTTCTGTGTACCTCTAGTAATAAGATGCTGTAAGGACCACTTGGAGAATTTGTTAGCTCATAGAGTAAATAAATAATGAAATAAACCAAACAAATTGTCAAGCTTCTATATCTCAAAGGTGAAGCAGGAATGACTGAATGTTTCCTGGATTAAGAAGACCTGTTGGGTAAGCAAATGAAGTGTGTCCATCTGTGAGAACTGTGAAATGAGGGAAAAATGCAAGGTTCCTATTCTGACTCTGTTTTCAAGCCTGCTAGCATCCTAATACTGTGGGTTAGGTCTGGGAGTCTGAGCCAGCTGAGGTTGAAACTTGACCCTTGAGAATGGGAAAAAAAAAAATGCTGTTAAGCTGCAAGTCTGTGTTTGCTGTGCTGCTGAGATGTGCCTCTGTTACCAGTCTTGGACCTCAGGAAAGCTGCGGATATGGAGCACGTTCCAGCTGGACCAGCAGCAATAGCCTGGGTATTCAACTGCCTCATGACAGGTCAAGAAAAGAAGTAATTTTGTATGCTAAAGATCTCTGGGAACCCTGGTCAACTGCAGTAGCCCAACTTAAGGGTTTGCACAGAAGCACCCTATGTCACCAATCTAATAGCACACTAGATCAGCAATGACTTCTGGAATGACACAGGGTGACAATGCCAAACAGAAGGAGGGTTGTGCAGTAAAACATGGTTCCAAGGTTGGGAAATAATTCAAAAGCATGATTGGATTGTCAGAAACGTGGTGCAGAAATATTTCCTCTGCATGGCTTATTGTGTGAATGTTATTTTTGGTAACAGATATCATCATTTATGGCATTGCAGATGCTGCTAAGTGATAAAGTGGCAGTGTTATTATTTTGTGTAACCTCAGCACTTAGGAAGTCAAAGATCTTGGTAGCACTGGTGCAAGATATTCAAGTGCCTAATTGCTCCCCAGACTCTGTCAAAGCACCTCTCTTATTCTGGTGTAGAGAATCCCTGTAAGAAGTAATGGAGATTCAAGTCGTAAAGGCATTTGGGATATGGGGAAGTGCATATCCAGATATTACAAATTGAACCTTGCTCCTTATGCTCAAGAGGCAGTTTGAAACTACATTCAACAGCTGTTTAAAAAAGTGACAGGAGAATTATTAGATTTTGCAAGGAAAGACTTACAGGCTATCAGAAATTGTTTTTTTGGCACCAGTTTAGTTTCAGAAGCCATCTTTAGTTCTATTCCAGAAAGATACTCAGTTAGGTCAATTCTGTATTCCCAGCCAAGCCCAATGGATTCACAGGAGAATTTCTTTAGATTTCACTCTGTGAAAAATAAATGAGTTCTGTTTGCAAAGACTGCAAATACCCCAAACTCCCTGCTGTAGAATATTAATAAATAGCTTTTTTTTTTTTTTTTACACAGAAAGCTCTCCGGTAAGTGGCACTATTGTGAAAATATCTTTGAGATTTGTTCTTTTATTACTGATTTTGCATCTTCAAAAGCCTGGCCTCATTTGTTCTTGTTGAAACGAAATGGGGAAGTGCATGAATGTATTGAGTAATCATTTCAGTTAGCTGTTTTGTTGTGTGATATTACATGATGCTACTCAGCCTACATAAACCCCTGTGGTTCACAGCTATAACATGGACTTTACCCAGTTAAATAATCTGCATATAGCAACTTTGTCAGTAGTACCAGACCATGTGCAATGTTAGCTGTAGTGTCACCCTTGTGCTATAGGGGGTGAGGTTTAATTGAAGTTACCGCATTATTATGAGGCCTATGAGTCAAACTTTAGGTGTTCTTTAGATTCCCAGAGAAAGACGTTTTCGGTCTCAACTGGTCACCTTTATTTTTGCCTTTCTAAGCCACAAGATTTATAAATTTGGCCCAGCTTCTTTATGCAAATATAAAAGAAGCTTTCAAAACTATCCCCTGAAACCCAAATCACTGAGTTGAATTAGGATGAATTCTTGCACTCAGACCCAATTTTCACTTAAATATAGAGTCTTTGGCAAACATTTGCTCTACAATAAGTCTTTCTTTTTTGAAAGAGGGAATCAAAAGAGTTCTTTGAACCATTTCTGAATATGGAGTTAACCAAAAGCCCAGAATATCTTTAGGAGGAGAAATATCCACTGGTTTTGGAAAGCAGAAGATATTTATAGCTGTCTGAAATACCTGATGAAATGTTCTGGTGTCCTTAGAAAATGTATAGTAAATGTTTAGGGTTTTTTTTTGGGTGTGAGAGAATGAAATATTCACTTCTGGCTAACTTGAGAAAAGGCAAGCCCTTAATCCTTGTTTCCTGCTGGCAGTTCTTTGTCATGCTGCGTTATGAGTGAGTGCGAAGATGGTGAGTCAGATTTTGTAAATGAGGGGTGAGAAAAATGGGAATAGTATTTTTAGAAAAAGAGGAAAACAAACTGAGACACAGAAGTCATTTAAAGCAAACCCGCTTTCAAAAATGCTGGCTGTAGAAAAAAATGAGCGGAGCACAGATTATGCATTTCAAGCCTACAAAAACTGTTGAAAACTGTGGAAATCTGAGAGAGAGTTTTCTTATCCTGATGTGGGCTAGTCTGGAAAAAATACTCCTTGTTGCGGAGAGTGTTAAGAAATGGATTTGTTTTATCAACATGTATAGTTTACTTACAGCCTGGAACAGATGTTAAAAATCATTTCTGCTGGGTAAGACTATGATTTTTGGTATCCTTAGCTGTCCATACTCATAAAATAAAAGTCTGTTTTGTTTTGTAATTTGAAAATGAGTGGCATAGTTAGTATTCCTAAAATTATAACTAAGTAGTTGACTCTGTCTTCCAGTTCAGGGTATAATGGTTTTAATCAAATGCTAGAATCACACATTTTAATGATAATTTATTGGAGCATCTAAGTAAATATGTTATTTGTCACTTGTGTTAGATATGCAAAATAACTTTGCTATATAGTTATATTTACCAGTTAATTTGAGGATCACTATTGGTGCTACCATAAAAAAACAGTAGGTTATAGTAGTAGGGGACTACTTTGAAAGACACAGAGGCACTCATCTGTTAGCCTCACCCAGTCTCAAGGGAGGTGTGTTGCCTACC